AGGCTGAGACGGGATGTAGGTCGCGACAAGTGCACGCTGCTCGTTGCACGCGCATTGTACGCAGCAAACTAGGCAGGCACTCGTGCACTGCGGCCAGGCGCGAGGCGGAGTCCTCCGGCGCGGAGGCGGGAAATAATACGGAGAGAGCCACTTCTTTTCTTTTCATTCCGACAAGAATAAGACTTGGAAAGCGGTGAAAACAACTCAAGCTGTCTGAATAGAATGTTTCCAGAATTATGGTAATTTACACATTTGATGTGATCCCAATAAAATGTGGAGAGAATATTACCTATTTGAATATCCACGGAATGATTCTGTAACAAAAGTTAATATCATAAGTATTCCTAATTAAAATACCTTTGATAACCAAAATTCTTCCATTAGAGAGGTTCTATTCATTTGTGAATAAACAAACACATAGGCATATACACCGGAGAGACGAATTTATTTTCTCATTTTCTGTTTTTGACAAAGCCTACACGAGGGGAAAAATGTGACACAATGTTCAGTGTTTCATGTAACATGATTTACCTACCTATTTTTAGCTAACCTTATTGAACTTAGAGGTACAAAACAAATGTTATTAAAAGGAAAGAACGGGAAAACGTCCTTTTGTTGATTCTATGTATATTTTGCAAACAAAACGTGGAAATACTGGTACCGGTGTTTATATAAGACATATCTAATCGAAAACACGCCTAAAATAAATCAATGTGAAAGAGAAACACGTTCCACTTCTTTTGTTATGGCTGTGCAATACAGCTTTAGTAAAGGTACAAGTATTTCGTACTTGACGTGATTGATAACAGTTTCATTCGTTAATCAATGAAAACTATAAAAACTTATTCAGTATACTATATCTGTACTGTAACGTCCTAATCCTAGCTAGAAAATATTGTGGTCATTTCTTGTCATTGGTATTCCGTCTAGGATTAGGTAGGTTCACAGGACGACTTTAAACACACATACTTATTTACTTTTTTAACGCATAAGAAGTCGTTTAAAGAAGATTATAGAAACTTTAAGTACATAAACAAAGTCAAGCATTAAAGTTTCACCATACGAAGCTTTCCTCATCCGCTCTCGAACTAGCTTGACCTTGCTTGTCCTACCATAGAGAAGGAACTGTTCGCTTGAAATGTTCAAAATATTCTCTTTGTTCGGCACGTTTGTGTCCAAATGCCATTTGTATGTCAGACTTGTCACGCTTTTGTGGTCGTTAAACGGCAAGCCCCCTTCATTTAGACTAACTTACTCTAAAATTTTATGATAATTTTCATAGAAACATTTTGAAAACATCTTGCGACATTCAACGTTGAACTTTCCTTTCGTCTGCGACTGAGTCAGTATTCAACGTTTAGGAAAATTAGTTGCAAGCCCTCAGTAAACGACCGTGTTGCTCGAACCTCGTTACAGTCACTCACATCATAACCTTGAGATTAAATGATAAGGATTTAATTATTGAAAATATTACAATTACACCGAGACATAAGTTCTCAAAATGTAATTACATGTTTAAATAAGTTCAATCTACTCTATAACAACCTCTACCCACGCCTACCTCGGAGTAAGCTAATAACTCGACTGTTAATTGTAAATAGTATTCTACGTAACCTTTGCAATAAACACAATAGAGTAAGTAATTGAATCCGAAATGGCATTTTAAAGTTCGAATGTTAACCTGCAGCCTGCAGCATATTCTGTTGACGCAACCGAACTATTTTCTCGCTGTTTGAAATCTAGAGCTCGGCTACGGAGAAATAGTAATGCACCTTACGACACTACTCGAAACAATTTTGCCTGTAATCAACATTATTATCAGCGGATTACAACAAAGACTTCTTACAAGTAACAATTAATATTTTACACACACTAAGTATTTCTGAAACATACAACTTAATTGGAAAGGAAAAAACTAATTCCATAGTTTTAGAACTATAATATATATGTTAAAACTTGGTATTCGTAATATTTTACATATATTAGTGCTCATAAAATATCATGTGGGGTAATGTATAGCCAGTTACTCAGTTAGGCAATTACTTAGTACAATACAATATTGATTAAGTATCTATGTTTAGTTAATTATTTCTTAAACAAAAAGTTATTCATTATTTATGTTCATGTCTGAATGCAACATAATGTTTGTTATTAACAGTTGTCTCTACCAATGTCAGTAGAAGTTTTGCTTGAGTAGTGAACGTAGCATGCACTCTTGCGCAGGTACTTAGTAGATACCAAGGATGTGCATTATGCGTAGGAAGGACAACTGGGCGTATATCACGTTTATTATTTCTTAAACGCATACATTAGATTGTTGTCTGATCTTCTTTAAACTTATTTGTTTTCCTTGAACTTTATTTAAAACCTGAATTTAAACTCTTTTAGGAAAAATATCATCGACCTATCGTTATCGCTTCCTGTTTAATTTTCCATAGGAATCGGCTTGAATTAATTAAATCTATCTATAACCAATTAAAACCCTATTTCATTTGACTAACGAATGTCACGATCTGCTAATTATAATCACCAGTTAACATTTTTTACTCCCTAAAACCAGTTGAAAAATCTAATGCGGAAATGTACTCGTACTACGTAACTCTTTTTTTTCTTGGTGTTACTTATGCAAGTATCACATTATATCTTCACATATTTGAAAAGTAATGTTCGCCTATGTATTCAGTTAGGTATTTCGCCACGCCACCGCTAAGTACGTTCAATAAACACAAATAATATGCGTGTAACACATTACTTGACCATACCATAATCACGTAAAAATAATGACATGCCTATTAGATACGAATAAATGCCATAACTGTTATTTATTAGGTACCTACATACGCCATCATTTTCGACTCGTACTTGCGTTGTAATTATGTGTGACTTTGTTCAAAACGGTTTATTTTAGTAGGCTAGCAGGCAGGTTTTAAGACATACCTAGTAATTTGTTATCTTATTGACTCACCAAAGTCACAGATGTCGTAAGCACACATGATCATGAATACATGAAATTATTTTAGCAAACTTCCAATTTTCATTTATTTTAACTTTTAAATAGACCGTAACTCCTATCCATCATAATTATATTGCAGAATGGTTTGAGCAATTTCTACAATACGTTATAAGACTTATGATTATTAATCATTTATTTATCCTAAATCTAAAATAATCACCATAATTTATTGTCTGTTAAATAGCATAATCATCCATTCAAGCGGCCACGGCTATACTTAATAATAGAATAAGTATTTAATTCATAACAATTCGAAAGACAAAAAACAATAAAAATGTATCATTGGACTAAACGTCAATAAAGTCAAAAATTTTAGTGCTCGTGCGTAACTACGTAACTACGCGTGGCTACGCAAGTCGTAGCGAATGTAGCAAATAAAAGCGGGTTGGCTACGCGGGCAACGCCGAAATTAAATTAGCGGTTTTCCGTTTTTAACCGGCTTCCTTTTACTATAAAAATTTCAATATACATACATACATAACTTCACGCCTGTCTCCCATGGTGGTAGGCAGAGACTAAGGAACTCCAATTACTACGATTCTTACATACCTCTTTCGCTTCATTAACAGTCATCAATCTTTTCATGCATGCTCCTCGGTTAAGGGTACTTTTAATTTGGCCCTTCTTTAATATATCGCCAATCTGGTCACTATATGTCCGTCTAGGGCGCCCTCTACCGACGGCCCCATTCATATCCGCTCTGTATACTTCTTTCGTTACTCTACTTCCATCCATCCTTTCTACATGTCCAAACCAGCGTAACATTCCCTTTTCAATGCTTGTCACTACATCATCTTTCAATCCACACTTTTCTCTAATAACACTATTTCTTTCTGAATATTTTATTTTTTAGATTATATGCATTTTTATATTCAGTAAATACCTATGATTGTACTTCTAAAGAAAACGCTAAGACGTAGCTTACTTTTTGCAGACATTTACATCACATTAAGAAAGATTTAGGAAGTGTAAGTAAATCTTACGTGCGCATGTCTATTGTGTTATAACATGGCTGTAAGAGACAACTCAGTAGACATACTTACTTAATCACGTAACGTAGCAATTAAAAGATATGTAACACACAAATCAATATGTATGTCGTAAAAATGTCCGCAAAATAGACTTGTACCGCAATTATTCATCAGGAACTGGGAAGTGAATGTGTTAAGCTTGAGCAGTCATCTGTGTGTCGTCAACATGAACTTACTTGATGAAAAACTGCGGTCACAATAAATCATCGCCTCTGTTGAATTTCCATTTATTTTATGTTTCGTGTTTTTCCATCACTGTTGTACAAGAGTGTTAACGTAATTTGTTTAACAAAGAATTACTTCAGTACTTAGTTGCTTCGACATTGTACAGATCACGGAACAATACGGACCACAAAAGGTGACGGAGCGTATCATTCAATCTTCTACTTAGAGCGTATTGTCACGAGTGCCACGTTTAACACTGAATCTATATTAAATATATTATTTACTTGCAATATAGTGAATAATATGTTCATACACCTTGGTCATTAGTAATGGATATAGCTGTGGAATTTATGTAATTTAGTCTCATCAATGCTCCTAAGATAAGAGGTAGCACAGTTTTTGCAATACGCTTTCTAGAGACGTTAAATCGTGTCATAATTGGAAAAAACTTAGGTCTAAAAGGCATTATTCTTTTGTTTTCTATGTAGGTAGGCACACATAGATTGTAGTTGCTATTGTCAAGTAATTACGCAAGTACGTAATCTTACTTAATAACATATACTTCTAATATGTCACAATAGTAATTACTTGACATGTCGTTATATAATACTTTCACGTGAAGTAGCCATTTCCTGAATTTATTTACTGTAGACTTAAAATAGACATTACCAGTTATGATATCTTTTTTACTTACTGACTAGCCTCGTTGTGTTTATAATTTTGTAGCTTATTGTGGACTTTAGGAGTATGGCAACTAAGCTTAACTTATAATGTCTATATTTGTCTTCAAGCTGGAATATGGATGGTCACGGAATGGCAACCAGCGGTGTGTGCGACACCGTGCGCCGGAGTCGACGATGTCAGTGAGCAGTGACATTAGATTCACACGGCGCAAGCTGAGCCGGCCCTGCCGCGGTTGCTGTGCTGCGCTTGCGTCGCTACTTGTGCTACTGCTGCTCGCTGCAGTTGCAGTATACCTTGGACGTAAGTGGATCTAGCAAAGTATTTAAAATTATCTAAGTACCTATAGTGAAGTATCAATAGGAGATACTTACATAATTCATATGTCCCAATTAAGTACAGTAAATGTCAGAGGAATATGAATCTATGTGTAGACAAGTATCTAGCCTCTAGATATTTTATGCAGAGCCTTTACTTTCCTGAAGTTTTTGCTATCGTGTCCAAATATGACTTTTTTACCTTTATGAAAATATCAATAATTATGAAGTACCAATAAAACGTTGACGGTAAGACGGTAGTTCCGTTTCAACACACATTATTGGTACGCGTGGTAACAAAAACACCAGCCGCGAATGTGCATTTTTAAAATAAATACCTAACTGAAATTAGTTACGGATGAATTTAAGCGAATGTTGCAGCAATTTTGCTAGACATTCCAAGTAATTTAAGTCTACACGTATAACCATAAATGGTAACATTACTCAACGCCTGACCCAAAGGACTGTGTTGCAAAACATCTTAGACAAATTAGTTTACGTCCTATGAACATGTTGTAGATATAGATATCTACTACTTACGCATGTTATGTATATATATATAGATGCATATAGACTACAAATTAATTGGGTAGTTTCCAGGGTATCAAAATTAAAAATCTAATTAGTCCATGAGTTGGATAATGAAAAAATATTATACTCGTATTTTTTTATTTTCTCGTATTAAGTTGCAATACTTAGATAAAATGGCGCCAAGTTTAGGAGTGGGAGGTTGTTACGTCATAACGTGCTACAAAATGAGGCACGCTGTGACGTCACACGATATTTCAAATTAATATATCGTCGAAAGTATTTAATTTTGTGAGAAAAGCAAAGAATACGTGTCTAAAGTTTTAAATTATTGTACCAGACGGCCATTAAAACAAAATTTAGGAAACTATCCTATTACTGTACATCCTTTACATGTACTTAACAGTCTTAAGTAGAGTAAGATTAAGATATATCCGGAAACTATAGATAAGATTTCATAACATTTTGTAAAGGTTAAAAAAAGTTATTGAGATCACTTTTATTACAATTGGATCGATATAATCAGAAATTGATTCGATCCAAATAGGTATCTAGTTGCTATGTCGTAATTTTATTTTGTCTATCGTCGGACCAGTGTAAGTATCATTTGATTTAGATTCTTTTGTTAGTAAACAGTGGGTATCGACTATCTGGGTTTCAATAGAGGCTAGAGGTGTAAACTGAGCGACATTTGCCCGTCACCGGCTCAGCAAAGGCCAGTGAGCCGCATGGCCTTGCCAAGCCCGATGCGGAGACAAGTGCACTCCTTGTAACAACCACGTTATTATGCTGCCATATTCATTGATATCATTATTGGTATTTAAAAGCTATTGTCTAAATATCTTATTACCAACGCTTCCTATTAATTTAGGTGACTTCAATTCAAAGTTATAACTTCAGCCACGCTTAGCACATTACTTGAAGCTAAAGTCACGAAAATAAAACTTGATCACCTCTATTAACGCCTGAGAGTGATCGATAAAGAAAAGAGATTGTACTTCCGCGAGTTTCGTGACTTGCGATACTCCAAACTTAGTTATCTGTATCGATTTCAATAGATATTACTGGGTTTATATAATCATGCATCTGTATCACGTTATCGCCAATATTTAATAGTTATGTGCTCCGTTTCCCTTGCTTCCGTAATGCCTTTTTGTAATTGTTCTTGCCACCAACTGATTTTTACCGCTAGCAAATCTTTTACTATAATGAGCTGCTTTAAACAACGCTCCATGTACCGTAACAGCCAATAATATAAATTCCAAATACTGCGTAAAATTGGACCGAATCCAAATGTAAGTTATTGTTGTTTTACTTATCTGCGCAGGTCTGTTCTTCAATTCTTTTGCTTGTCTCGATACTCGATCGAGGTTACGGTTTATTGGCAAGACAACCTTACCTGATATTTGTCGAAATATGCGTACTATTCGTGGATATTAAAACATTTAAGGTTTTATTACAGACGGAAATATTTTAAGGACAGTTTGAGCACTTGATCTCTCTCAGATCTAGTTAGTAAGAAAATGTTTTAAAAAGTTAATTTATTTTTTGAATGACAACATTTGGCGAGAGCAAAAGACCATGAAACTTCCTTAATATATTCAGGACATTGAATTAACAATACGATTGGCTTAGAGCCAGAAACATTCATTGAGAAATTGTTGTTGTTGCTAGTTTTCTCAAATTCGCTCGTCTACTTTTTTGTAAAGGTGAAGGATTCTTGCAAGTTCACTTTTATAAATAAGTATTACGACAGTTACTATGCATTCAACCATTTGGTATATTAACGTGGATTCTTTTATAGAAACTCAGTTGTCTAATACCCACATACAACCTGATTATACACATATTCTTTAATTCTTCAATGTTCTTATGTATTACTGAGCAATAATATTATCCCTATCTGCAGACATGTACCTGTTTGGCGATCCCCTTAACCGGCAGACGTTCCGGGGCTCGTTCGTCGTAAGCTCGTGGGGAGTCGGCGAGGTCGAGAAGGGCAACGACCTTGAACCCAGAACCAACAAGACACGTGAAAATGAACTGCAACAGGCGCTATACAACTTATATTTGAATTCCGAATTGAAGTCGTGTTTTGTTTCTGCTGACATACTGGCTTTGGACAGGTGAGCTTAATTAATAGCAGTTGTTTTTTAAACGCTGTGTAACGCAGTTCATGTCAAGTATTTTATTCCGGCATCTGTCAATGATCGATGATTGAAAAGCAAATATTTTATTTACACGTATTTCTTAAGTAACGGCTGTCCCAGAAACCTATTTGTCTATTTAATCAGAAGTGTGGCTACCTACCCGTATCATAAAATAAGAAAAAAATATTAGGTATCTACTAACTGGGGGGTCTAAAGTCTACCTTCCTACTTGAAAAATAAAAGAGTTTGAAAAGAAAAGATTATTAAAACGAAATGGCAGCAAAAATAACAATGCAATTAAGTGATTAAGAAACGATACACGCCTCACAATTAGCTTTTTATTACAGTCTCGCTTCGTTGAAACTTTATGTTTACTTACCTATTAAATTTTTATCTTAGATCAAAGCTTCATATTCTCATTAAAATTTTAGTTTCTTTGTAAGAATAAAATGAGTCTGTAATATTGACAAATAATTATGGGTAATAATAATAACTTTTTGACCTCTCCTTTCAATTTGCAGTGTAGTTAAACACAATACACCTTTAAAACCCGTTCAAAAGCAGCTTGACTCACGGTCGAATATAAAATCCTATCAGGCTGCAAAAATACAGACAGTTTCGTTAATCAAGTGGAAATAATATTATTTGATAATTTCCAAGTTTTATAAACTATATGTAGATTAATATTATGTTAATGGGTGTTGACTAGTAATGTCTTTACCGATGGATGGAGAAAGTACACTTTCTCGAAATCTCCGAGGTCTGGAATCGAGCATGCGACTGCGCACGCCGTTTTAGTAAAACGCTACAATTTCCAGTTGTGCCATATGACGCCTTACTATAAATAAGAAGATGATTTGAGAGAAGGAAGTCGATTAGATGTATAAACATCTCAATACTACTTACACTTTAAGTGTTTTTAAAGGCATTCACTACCGGTTTTGAAATATCATGGGTATTTTTTTCTACCGGTAAGTAGTTACCTACCTAGTATGAATCAGACACAAAGTTGACACAGGAATTTAGTTTTTATAGTCAGAAATCGTAAGTAGGTTTGCAATTTCGCTATTAGCTGTCATGGAAATCAAGACTATTTTTATAAGTATAAAACAACTTTTACTTTTTAATGTATATTGTTGATGGCATATAAAATAAAAATAAAGTTTCTAACGATACTTTGTTCCTATGTATCTGTCACAAGAAAGTTCGATACGTGCTTTGTTTCAGAGGTTCGGTAGTACTTTCTATGCGGCGCACGTTGTGGACTATGTAGGTAATCCACATTGAAGGTTGTTCCAAATGTTTTATGTTCCGGCCCTTTCTTTTTGCGAGTAGAATTCAAATCGACAAATTGTTATGTTACAATGGTAGACACGAATATTTTTGTTGTGAATCCTGGTCATCTACACGGATGTACGGATGTGACGTACTGCTAACTGATATAATCTAATTGGATAAGTAGAATAAATAACAACATTTTCCTTGACTTTACAAACCCGAAAGATACTTCTGAAAATAAATTATTATGAAACAAAGTAGGTTACTAGGTATATAAGATCAAACAAGATGTTATTAAGTTTTAATGTGCAAATGATTTCATAAACAGGCAGGAGAGCACATCCCTGAGAACGTGCAACTGTTGAAATGTTATTTAAATAATTCACATTCTCACAAGATTTTGCTTGCGGAAGCATTAAAAAAACAGATTTGTTGTGTCAATAGTTGCTCCAAATCTTTTTTAATTTTATTATATCTTACGTGACTTCCACTTTTGTTGCCTCTATTAGTGTTTTTTATTTTAGTATAATTGTTATTTACCGACCGTATAACTGTTGCGCAATGAATATTTAAGCGTTAGCCATTAACATAACAACTGTTAACTCCCGAAGCCGTAAATAAATGAAAGAAAAAAATTATTTTATTTGTGCCGAAAATAAAAAGATAAGGCGTATCTTCCCTAGGTCACTCTGTGCCTACCCAGATTCTATAGATTGCTATAACTTAACTATATAGTTAAGTGCCCTTCACACAGAAACATCATTCTAATAAACTCAAAGAACTTTATTGTAAGTATAAGTTGGTAGGTAGGTACCTATATACTTAAATACTTTTTATGAAACTTCGTGACAAGTTTCTCACAACTTTCTTCAATTACAATTTCACAAATTCATGCTTGGGACAAATATAACAAGACAAATAGTAAGATAAGGTGGAATACAATAGCTACAATGGATACTCAAGCCGGCGACCGCAGAGCGCCACGCCGCAGCGCACCGGTGACTCTGTTACCAAGACACCTAGTTAGGAGTTAGCTAGCTACTGCTCACTGGATAAACCTATTAGATAAGCAGCCCAGGCACTAGACTAGACTGTCTCGGTCGGATGGTCACAAGCGGGGTGACCGAGGGTCCTCGTGTCCCTAGTTGTGTACCTATATTCGATCTTTGTAATTTTATCAGCGAGCGAGGAGAGCCTGGAATAGTGCGCAGTATGTCGTAATAGATTTGCTATCCATAACGTATGTAACTGGTAAAAAATGGACTTCGACAGTATTTAATTAGGTACAATTATACCACTACCTGTTGTACTCTCTGTTCTCCTTCGGGAAACCAAAGGTGTGATGTTGTTGGTATTAATTCGAACTATTAATTCCAGTTCAGAAGAAGGCATGCGTGTACACTTCGAGGTTTCTTTCGAGCCGATCTTCACTGCCGTAAGCACAGCCGAAGTGACGGCAGTATTGGCTCGGGAACTCACGGAGCCGACTGCATACTTCAACAAAATAACCACGCTGCCAGAGACACTACATATCGAGGTGAGTGGATCAGTTAACACCTTATAAAATGTTATAATGAGATATCATATCTTCACGCTCTTTTTACTTTGCAACATAGCAGTTACAATGGTAAACTAATGAATAGATGGGTACCTATCTATAGGATGGTGAATAGATAAATTAAACGTAACCTAATAATGAAATCCTAATATATTGTAAGTGTTCCTAGTGTTTGGGTTTGATTATGACGCTTATACTAAATGTGAAAACAACCCGGCAATGTTTTTAAAATGTCATTACAATTACGGACTTTACGATAGGAAACTTTAAAAGAGTTATAGGTACTTCAATATAGTACCAGACGGTATCTACATATTTAAGTAAATGCGTTGCTTTCTATTAATTTAGCGTTTCGCTGAACAGTATTAATGAGGTAATAATGTGAGCATCTCAAATTCCTCATGGCGAGCTAGATTTCAGCGCTAAATAGCAAGGTAAGCAACACATTGTGAAACTCTTTGGTCTTAACGGTAGATGATCTTTATTTACACAAATTCACAATCGTTCTTCTTTAGTTGCAAATTGCAAATATCTAAGATTGCAAAATTATGTTTTGGAATATTAAACAAATTGCAATCAAATTGCGAATTCTTATTCATAGTCACTTACACGCTAATTGTGCAGTTATGTAAAATTAAAGTTTTATTATGTTTGCCGGCGCGGCGTAGCTGTGCGATGGTCAAAGGTTGACAACACGTAACTGCAATGTAGCAAATTTTACAGGAGAGTGAAAAAACTGTTTAGTTTCAAGAAACAAATTAGAAAAAAATAAAACAAAAAAGTAGTTTGTAGGTAATCAAATTATTTATTAATATAGCTTAAATAATAAACGGTCCACATAGGTTTTACATTAAATAATCAATAAACAATCAGTTACGAGTTA